CATCCCCGCAGCTGGAGTAAATACAACAGTCGATTGTCAAGGTGAACATTACGACAAAGCCATGTAAGTCGTAATATATTTCCATGTTCAAAGGACACGACGTCAGATTAATTTCTATGTGATAAACTTTCTGAGAAGTCCTGTTATTTAAGATTTCCAAAGAAGTGCTTAGTTTAAAGATTTTTAACTCGGAATTTGTGAGATGTCATATTGTGGTCATGATGAAAGCGCATAATCTGAAATATTCTCGTAGAAAATTATATAAGAACCAAATATTTTTTCGACAGGATATTATGTGTACTCAAAATTCGTTTAATAGAGAAAAAACTGTAGCCTTTGTCAGTCCAGTAAAGTACACATTCTTACTGTTACCATTATCATTACTGTCATTATTATCATCACTGTTATCAATATTATCATTATCAATGTCATCATCATTATCGTTGATGTCAGTAGCAGTATTAATATTAAATAAAGGCTAACTTAATGCACACGTTAACCAGTCAGTTCATTGATGAGTAAGTTGATAAACAGATAGATTAATAGAGTAATAAATAAACAAGAATTATGACAAGGAATATTAATTCAACCAAAGTGAAAAATGGGGATGCTGATGACATTGTCATTATTGATGTTATTATTATTATTGGTGTTATTCTTTTTATTATCGTTATTATTATTGTTGTTATTATCATGAGAATTATTATTATTATGTTATTATGTTTTATTATTATTATTATCATTATTGTTGTTATTATCTCTATTATTACTATTATTAATAATAATATTATTATCATTATCATAATTATCATTATTATCATTATTACTATTATCATTATCATTTTTGAAAATATTGTCATTATTATTACTATTATCAATATCATTATTATTATCATTATTTTCCTTTTTATTATCATTATTATTGTTGTCATTATTATTATCATTATTGTCATTGTTATCATAATTATTATTAACATTCCTATTATCATTACTGTCATCTTTATCAACATTACTGTTACCATTATTAGTACTATATTTATCATCGTCACCGTTGTCACCATTATAATTATCATTATCACTATTTATCACTGTTATTTTCAATATTATTGATATTATCAATGTTATTGTTATTATTATCCTAATTATTATTGTTGTTATTTGTTATTATAGTTCTAGCAGTAGTAACAGTATTAGTAGTACCATTGTTATTGTTATTGTCATTATCATTATCATCGTTATTGTTATCATCATTATTATCATTATCATTATCATTATTTTTTATTATCATTATTATTATTTGAATTTCTATCATTGTCATTGCCATTTTTATTATCATTATTATTATTATTATTATTATCATTATTATTATTATTGTTATTATTATTATTATTATTATTATTATTATTATTATTATTATTATTATTATTATTATTATTATTATTATTGTTGTTGTTGTTGTTGTTATCCTTGATTGATCATTATCATTAGGCTCATTATCATCATTATAATCTTTATCGTTATTATCACTATTATCATCACCATTACTACCATAGTTATCTCTATCATCATTATCAATATCATCATTGTTATTATAATTATCATTACTATGGTTATTATTATCATTATCCTCATCTTTATCATCGTTATCAATGTCACTGTAATAAAAAGTATTATTTTTTACTTCATCATCTATCACTATGATTAATGTTCTCCCTACTGTTATTTTAGTTTTAAACGTAACGAAGCAAAAAAAAAGAAAAAAAAATCTAAAATTTCAAAGTCAAAAACCCACTTTGTTCGTCACTTTTTTTCTAAATTCAAGTTGCGTTTAGATAAAAGAAACGTATTCTCATAATATTTATTTTTTCATTTTTTTTTTGTCTTCTTTTGTGGGTGTAAATATCAGCTGTCTTCGCTATCTAGTGCTTTGATCTTCAGTTTTAGTTAAAGCATTATGGTTTGCTGTTTAAGTATGTGTGTTTTGTTTGTATCCTTCGTCTTCATCTATATTTTATGTCTTTTCTTTGTTCTCTCTTTCTTTCTCTCTCTCTTCTTTTTCTTCTTTTTTTTTTTCTTCTTCTTCTTCTTCACTCTCTCTCTCTCTCTCTCTCTCTCTCTCTCTCTCTCTCTCTCTCTCTCTCTCTCTCTCTCTCTCTCTCTCTCTCTCTCTCTCTCTCTCTCTCTCTCCTTAAGCCTGGATATTGCATAATTACTCTTCTGCCCTTGCATGGAGATGGTGTGTTTGTAACCATGTCTGTCTGACTTCAGCGAGAGTACGTAGTGAGCTCGTTTCCAGATTTCTGTTTTGTTTTGCTTAATCCAGGATAGCATGAGATGATAAAAGTCTTGGCTGAAGCTAATTTTTTTTTTAAGTTATTTTTTTTCTTTTAAGTTTTCGATTAATCAGTTGTTGTTTTGTTTTAATTCCCTATTCGGTTAGAATCTAAAATGATATGTCTGGTGGAAGTCATTCATAGGGATAAAAAAAAATAATACATTA